TGTGAGCAGTGACAACCCACTAGTCACAGAGACTCACTCTGGATAAAATGTTCATTGATGCATAGGGAAGGATTTCTCTTGTGGATTGTTGCTCAAGAGTTAGAAAGTTCTGTTTATGCTATCATTTTCTTTTGAACGTTTCAAGAGCATTGCTAATAGTGAACGTCTTCAAGATAGGAGAGAAGATCAGCTTCTTTTAGTCTTTAAGAACCATCATTTGACCCAGTCTTACATGTAGCTGCCATAAAACCATTTGTGGCAACAAATATGAGCTTCATGATTTTTGTGTACATGTTTTTGTACCTTGTAATTTCATTAGGTATTATGTTTATGTTTTATGTATAGCATTGGGAAAGTATGAAAGAAGGATCAATATCTGGTGAGAGACTCTGGACTAGAGAGAGAGATGCTCATGCTAGTGCTATTATCAATGGTGACTCTACCTCACCTGCACTAGTAGTGATTGGTGGACGGAATAATGATCAACTAATGAATGAATGTTTATTATTTGATAATATCACTACTGGTCAGTTCAGTTGTAAGAAGGTATGTGTATGATGTTTGTCATATTAAGAATCGGAAGAGCCTCACTGCATAAAGTACTAAATAGGCTATAACGATTATTATATTCCATTCAAGCTATACTTCAGACCACCAGTGCAATAAATCAGTTATGTGTAAATCAATCCCTGAGAAGTTTGATTTAGTGCACTGTGGCTTTCACCTTTATTGTACTTCATTCCCATGTTAGAAGACTGGTTTTTGTACATTTACAAAAAGCCACAGGATCTTGTGCATACACAAGTCTTGTGCTACACAAGACTTCCATGGGTGTATGCCAACTGTCCAAAAGTAATTTTAAATTTATGCCTTGCGAGGCGTGATAAGGAGCCACAAAATTTGATGCCCTAGTCTATGAATCCTCAAGCGCATTAGAAGTAGAAGTATTAAGTATAAAGACTAGTCGAATGCAATGCATTAATGGGGCGAGCTTGAGTCATTTGTGGTATTGCGCTGACTCTGCTACTGGCTAGGCTACTCTTTTAGTTATATCTTGAGTCTGGGATGCCATCATAACCCTCTGAGCTAAGCAAGAAGAAGAGCATCTGTTTCATTCCAGCTAAATTGTTGAGGTTGATCTCGAGCTTTCTTCTTGCTTCATGTGTTTATTACAATATTTCATTAGAATGAGCTACCGCATTACATCATTGACAGATAAATAGATAGTAGTGCACACATGTGGTGTGACCAGAAGATGGGCGTGACTGCAGACGTACGCATAATACATGCATACATACATACATACAGAAGACTCCTGCTACAGTAGGGCTCGCCCAAGTTTGCCCCAATAAGCAATATAGTTCACTTTTTTGAGGGTTGTGGCCATACCAATGAGCCACAAGGCTAAAATACTATTACAGTGCAGTGTCAGCTAGGTGTGCCATCATGCCACTTGCAGAACAATACTAGAAATAATTTTTTATGACATTCCTACTAATGTAACACTGATATCTGATTTACAAGCACCTTGCCCTCTGGCTCAGTGCTTGTAAATCTGATATTGCACTTATAACATTAATTTTATGTAATACATCAAGTATACGTTAGTGTACTCGTACATGTGTAGTACATGTGAAATGTATCAGTAATATTTCGTATTGTCTACAGATTCCTCTGCCTCAATCTGTTACTGGTAGATACCGTCACTCAGTCACGGCAGTCTCAATGTCACCACACTGTGTGTGGCTTGCAATTGTTGGAGGATATGAAAGGTTGGAATATATACGTGATGATGGAGGAATGATAAAGCCAAGAGTTACATTTGTCACTCAGTCTGATAGAATAATGATAATAATTGAATTAGGTAAGTTAATTTTAATCATTTGGAAGGATACAAGGATTAAATACGTGATTATATTTAAAATGTCACACCCAGTTTTACGGCATGTACAATATTTGTAAATTGCAGTTTCTATTATGTATGACATACATTTTTCATTCATTTTGTATGCTGTAGACACTATACGATACCACTGTATGTGTGGGTGTATTTTCAAACATTATCATTTTATAAATTAAATACAATTAATTCTCAGTATATACTGAAGCTGGTGAGTGGATAGTACTGTCAGTACTGGATGGTAATGATCTCACTTGCAAGAAATATCAAGAAAAGTATTCATCATACAGCAAAACCAGAACATGGTGGATGGATCAGCTAATAGAATATCCCACAGAGAAGGAAATGAAGCTTCAGAGATACATCCAGTCTTTACATCAAGAACTACAAGTGGCTCATCAGAACAAAGTATCACTACAGGAGGCCCTGACTGAGGCCAATAAACAAGGTACATGTTTACAATGTCTTACATATAACATCCATTTTACACTTAAATATTAGAAATGGAAATTTTTCAAAAAATGCTTTTAAAAAAGTTTGACTAATAAAATTTTGACCATTAGATTACCTCAATGTAGTTGCAAAAATTAAAAATTACATACTATACCAATTTTTAGCTATATTGCCTGACTGAACTTTATGTTGTGTAGAAATTTTGAACTCACTCATTCCAATCAAAGTTGGATTTTTTAATAAATTTTAAAGTTACTACAAATGCGATGTCTTGTATTGTATAGACCCCCTGCAGTAGGCGTGGTCAATGTATGTAGGCGTTTCTTGTCAACCATTTTGGTGTACATCTTTAAATGCAATGACTGCAAGAAACAGAGCTTTTTTGCTATGATACCTTTCCTCCCTGGAAAATGATAATGCCAGGAAGCAGTACCAAGAAAAACTCTCCAGTATTAATGGATTGGATCGGCCTTGAGGAGTGATTGGCTAGATGATATTGACATGGCCCCAGGCTGCAGTGTCCATACTGCTATGTACCTTACCTAGTAGTAACACAAAGCCCATACACTGGTGATGAGCTTCTTAACTACAAGAGCATTGCAAGAACCCCTAAACTAGCAAAGAGCTTGCTAAGTCCTTCATCTGTGGGGGGACTCAAAGACAATGCAGCAGCAGAATACAACCGACTGAGCCAGATGTTGATGATGAGCAACCATGTGAATCAGTAGAAACTTGAGCTCCTTGCTCACTTGAGGACTGTTGTGAAGATGTAGATTGTGGGAAAACTAGATGTGTCATTGATGTTGAACTACATGCAGATGGCAATGCCGGGTGATAGTGCATGTTGATCATGATGATGAGTAGCAAGAAAAGAGAATGCTATGACTCCTTTTCTTCCCAAGAAAACTCATGTCATTAACTGTGGTATATGGCACACCTTGAACTGCATTTGGAATTGCCCAATAAGCCGTTTTCTTTTGTGTCACAGTCATTGATTCATGATGACAAGTTATATACCACCGTGCATGCACTCAATAGCCCACAAAAAAGAGGCTACATGTGAGCAGGTCCCTCCAAGACCTGCCATGCAGTCACAATGACCTGCTACAATCTTTCTATCCTTCTCTGCAATGATCCATGGGATCAATAATTCTCTGGCATAGAATGGTTTACCCATAGAACATTAGCATAACTTGACTGCTACTGAATTCACTTACCTTAGCAATGACAATTCTAAATTTGTCATTTGGAGCTTTAACAAGAATTTCCCTCACTTATCCGGCCCAAAAAATTTTTGGGCTGGATGCATACCATCTATGTTATTATTATGCATGCATACCATCTATATTATTATTTTTATTATTCAAGCTGGCTTTACAACACACTAAACAAGAGAAGAAAACAATGAATATCATGCATACAGAGACTTTTGCTGTATTGAGGGTCTAGCACCAACTTGTGGAGTAGCCTTAATACTAAAATATCGTATAGCTTGAAATTTTCGTGGAATATAAATTTCGTGGTTTTTGTGGTTATGGGCTGCCCATGAAATTTAAACCCACGAAATCATTGAAGTGCCATCCCTTACAGGCTATGTAAACTGTCAACCACGAAAATTAAACCACAAATTGTCCCACTAGGAGCAAACCACGAAAATATCGACCCACGAAAATACCAAGCTATACGGTACTAAAATTATCCTAACTAAAAGCATAAAAAGCATTTTAGCATAGTCATTTTGAGCCCGATGAGATCACTTCTCAAGGTTTCATAAGGATCCAATCCATTAATACTAGAGATATTTTCTTGGTACTGCTTCCTGGCATCATGATTTTCCAGAGAGGAAAAGTATCCTGGCAAAAAGCTGTTTCTTGCAGACATTGCATGCAACACATGTACACCAACATGGCCAACTTAAATGCCTACACACATTGACCACGCCTACTGCAGGGGGTCTATTGCTTGCTAGCTTATGAAGCATGCTGTTTAGCTCACTTAGCATGCTCTCTGGGAAACCCTGCTCTGTACCTAAAGGCACCTTTAAAATATAGGTTTTACACCGACTAGGAGGGATTAAAATAGTATGAATCCCGACTAGGAGGTGTATAACCTATTTAAACTATATTCATTGGTATTTGAAGATATTCATTAGTGCTTTAAAGATATTCATGGTATTATTATGTGACTTACCCCTGAAGATTGAAGTGCCATGTGGTCCAGACAGTAGTAGACTCCTGAAGCCAGGCTAGCTCTAAGACA